TGAAAACATCCTTATTTCCTCTTCAGTCTTTTTTAAAAAATCTTTTTAATTGTAATAAAAATACATATAACAAGACATTTGTCAATTCAACAATTTTATATGTATAACGATTAAATGCTCGACTGCTAGGCAGAAGATTGTCAGTTTGAACCCACTTACAAGCTTCCTCGGAAGACAGGCTTAGTGATATGCATACAGAGGGTCACAGACTTGGAAACTCTATGGAGTAATTCTGCTGTGCATACACGGGGTCACCATGAGTCATAATAGACTCAGTGGCAAGTTAAGAACAACAGTAATGTAGTGACATTGATTCATCTGTTGTGCAACCATTACTATTTCTTTCCGCATTTTACTCCACCACCAGTAACAGAAACTCAGTGTCCCGTACACAGTGAGCCCCCTTTTCTCCCTCTTTCCCACCCCTGGTAATCAGTAATGAGTTTGGTCACTATACATTTGCCTATCTCCTGAAGTGGGATCATACGATATTTGTCCTTTTGTGACTGACGTATTTCACTCCGCACATTGTTTTCAAAGTTCATCCATGTTCTAGCACCTATCAGAACTTCATTTCCCTTTATAGCTAAGCAATGTTCCATTGTATGGATATAGTATATTTTGTTCATCCATTCATCTGTTAATGGGCATTGTGGCTATTGTGAATAGTGCTGCAGTGAATATTGGTGTACAATTTTCTGTTTGATTTTCTGCTTTCAATTCTTTTGGCTATTTTCCAAGGAATGGGATTTTCTGTTAGTTTTTGTGCAGTTTGAATATGACATTTTTTGGTATTTATCCTTTTTGGCGTTCCCTGAACTTCGAGAATCTTTGCTTTGGTGTGCGTCATTAGTTTTCTAAATTTTTCAGTCATTATTATCTCAAATATTTTTTCTGTTTCTATCTTCTTTCCTTTCTGGTGTTCTCAATACATCAATACATGGATGGCCCACCTTTAGTGATTGCCCCACAGCTCTAGACTATTCTGTTCCATCTTTTTTTTTTTCTCTTTGCATTTCAGTTTTGAGAGTTTTATTAACATATCTTCAAGTTCACTGATTCTTTCCTTGGCTTTGTCTTGTCATTTGAGGAACTTGTTAAAGGCATTTTCATTTGTTGCAGTGTTTATTCCTAGTGTTTCCTTAGGTATCTTTGTTATTCTCTCTGCTTATATTAGTCATGTATTGTTACATGTTGCGTACTTATTAGCACTCTTAGCATGTATAATGATAGTTATTTGGAATTGTTGGTCTGATAATTCTGAAATCTATGCTGTATCTTAATTTTAATGCTTGCTCTGTCTTTTCAAGCTGTGTTTTTGTCTTTAGTGTGCCTAGTAGTTTTTGGTTGAAAGGAGATTATGTACTAAATAAAAAGAAATGAGATAAATGAATAGGCCTTTAGTATGGGGTTTTATTGTTAAACAGCTAGAAGTTAGGCTGTTTACTCTTTGCTATAGTTGTCAGTTGCTCTGATGTTCTTGTTTTTTTCTTCCCTGTTGTGTTTGGGTTTCCTAGAGACTTCTTAAATCAGGTCTGAGACTTGGAATTCTTTCTGTTATCTTATTATTATATGAGTCCTTTTGATGTTGTGGTAAACGTGGACAAAGAGGAAACCTGGTTTAAGTCTCAGTCTTTTAGTGAGCCTGTGCCCCTTGGCAGTGACCAGTGCTTCTCTGCTTCTCCCCTCACCCACTTTGGTGAGACAGGAAGCCTAGATGGGGCTGGAGTTGGGTATTTCACTAGTGCAGGTCAGTTAGTTTCTGGTAAAATAGGTTCCCTTAAGGAGAGGCCTTGTCAGAAGAACAGAATTCTCTGGGAAACTTTTGAAATGGCTACATTTTCTCATCCCTCCACTGGAAGGAGGAAGTACTGGGAGATTTTTCTCTGACAGTTACATTGAGGAGCTGATTGGGTTCCTGCAGGTAAAACTCAAACTCTGTGGGTCCTCCTAAGATTGGGCCTCCCTGGCATTTTTAACCCTGAAGTTTGTCCACATTGATCCTCCAGCAGTTCATTGATTGCATATTAAGTTTTCGTATGCTGATAATGAGCCTAGAGATAGTTGTGGTCCTAGGTTTTTGCTCTGGTATGAGTCTTGGTATCTGCTTATGTTTTCCTCCAGTTTAGAGGCAGCAGTTTTCCCTATGACCTCAATTTTCTGAGTTCAGTATATTCACATTTTTTCTTGTCAGGATGGTAATGATGACTTCCAAGTTCCTTATATATCAGACCAGAAACTGAAAGTCTTCATTTGTGTTTTGTTTTCATTACTGTGGTCTTTTTTTTTTCATCTTATTTTCTTTATAGTATTCATTTATGCTGCTTTTGTTTTTCAGGTTTTCCAAATTTATATGTTTGGTCTATTGCTAATGACCTTTTCTTTTCTGGGTATAAGTGATGTATCTTCTCTTTCCTGGGCATGAAGTCAATAGAGCCCTTTGACTCCTGTGCCTCTACTTTGGGACTTGAAGTAGACAAGCGTGTGAAATTTGTATGGGTGTTTGCAAAATCATCGTAGTCTGCTTTCAAGTTTTTAGAATTGAAAGTGGGATCTTTTTTTCCTTATCAAGCCAGGTTTCAATAGTTAATGTTTTCTAAAATGATTATTCTCCCTGCGCAGGCTTATTAAAGATAAATATGCTTGTGTTACTTGCTGCGCATCCCCTTACTGTGCTGCATTTCCAGTAGAATGTATCAGCACTTGACATTTTATATGTATACATACATACATATGTATATTTTTTTTACTGTCCACACTGAAAGAACTTACGATCCATGTTTATTGGATATTTTTTTCACTGCTGTATTTGCTTTGCCTACATGAAGTAGGTCCTGTGTCAGTATTACCTAAATCAATTTTAATAAATGAAGGTAGCCATAGTTAAGAGGAGCCCTGGTGGCACAGTAGTTAAGAGTTCTGGCTGCTAACCAAAAGGTCACAGTTTGAATCTGCCAGCTGCTCCTTGGAAACCCTGTTGGGTAGTCCTACTGTATCCTGTTAGGGTTGCTATGAGTCAGAATCTTCTCAACAACATAGTTAAGAGTCTGAAGGGAAGAATTCTGAGACATAAGCTTTGCCAGGAAAAGTAGCTGTGTGTTTTCTGAATTGAATAGGATGTTTCGTTTGTCTCCTCTCCGTAGTATCCAGCAGGGCTCTAGATCATCCATGGTGTTATTGGAGAATAACAGCCAGAATTACAGCAAAAGTGTATGCTTATGAACAAAAATTTACTTGTCAAGAATTTATGTTTCAAAGGCAAGTTGATCTCCATTATCCCGGTTAAGCAGTATTCCATGTGGGCAACATTGAGCATGTGATTGTTTCTAATTTTACTCAGCTATGAACTGTGTGAAATAAGATCTGTTCAGGAGAGTCATGAGATATAAATGAGCTAATGTGTCTAAAAGTTTTTGCAAAACGTTTTAGAAGTTGTAGTTGTTCAATACATGGGACATTTCGTTACCATATTGTATTATGAACGTTAGGGTTTTTGATGACTTTAAAATATGTAACCTGGTGTACTGCAGTGGAGGAGACTTTTGGATTTGGGCTCTAGCTCAAAGTTTTTTGTGACACCATCGTACCAGGATTGATTAGAGATGACATAGCTCACTTCACCCCTTCCTTGACAAGAGAAGTCTTCTTATTCTGAAGCTGCTCTTTTGTAGCACCCGTAGTGTAGTTCAGCAGCTTTTTTCTCCTCACTACATGAGGAAGCCAATGGATTGGTGGTATTTCACAGAGGTCACTCTTACAGACCAGGGTATTCCAGTGGTTAGAGTTCCGGTAGTCATGGTTGGGTGCCTTCCAGGGGCTGCAAATGTAAGAGAATTTTGGAGTGGAGCCTCTAGAAGGCTGCTGTGTAAGTCTCTTGTTTCCTAGGCTTCATGGGCAATTTAACAGATAAACTGCCTCCACCTCAACTTAAAAAATTAATTTTAGTGGTAAAAATTACAACAAAACGTTTACCTATTCAGTAGTGTTTACATGTGTAATTTGGTGACATTGATTACATTTATCATGTTGTGCAGTCATTAAAAAATGCACAGTGTAGCCACTAGGTCAGCAAACCCAAGGGCGTACTGTTCTTGTTTCTGCAGACATAGTGCTTTTTGTTGTCTCGTAACATTAGACTGTACTTGTGTGAGTGCGTATGGGTTTATGTTTGTTGAGGGGTGCAATCACTAATAATTGGTGTACAGATGCATCAGGTCTTGAAATTTGAGAATTGTGGGGAGACCTGGATTCTCACGTTTCCTGTTTCTCACCTGAGCTTTTTAACTTGCATTACCTGTGCCTGTCTCTAAGAAAGGGACAGAGTGAATGACAGAACAACTGAGTTTTTTGAAAAATTGGTGTCTGACCTGTAAAAATTTGTAATTCTCCAAAAGAATACTCTTAGATCAGCAGGTGGACCTGTCACCTCCTGATCTCCTTACAGTTCAAGAAAATATGATAAGGTCAGGGCCTTGGGTTACCGTTTGTGCGGGCCCTTGATCCTTCCATGGCTGTGAGGGACAAAATGAAATACTGCCATTCTGCAGTATTTCCCAGTTGTTAATACTTTATCTTGCTTTCACCCTGTGCTTAATTTTTTATTGAATATTCTGGTGGATCACCTCTGGAAGGATGCGAAATTGTTCATAAGGAAGTGAGGATCTGAATTACAGCATTTCTGTCATTTTTGCTATGTTTTTTAACTGTTCTAGATCATAAAGAGGAATAAGGCTGCGGTTGGTCACAGTCAAACTGTGGAGAGATGATATCAGTGTGTTGGAAGTTTGTGAGACAGGATACAATCAGTAAGGTAGTGAATGTAGTTAATGAAGGGACAGAGCTGATAGCTATACTCTAGACTAGACCTTGGTAGAACACAGAACTTTGTGTCAAATCCCTATGAATTCTCAGTTCCCTAGGATTGTCAGCCTCACCTTTCATTGTTGTATACATTGGAGTACATGTTACCTTGCTGATCCAGAATGTGTGGGATGTTTTAGGACTCAGTGGTCGTTGAGGATGTGGCTGTGGAATTTAGCCAGGAAGAGTGGGCTTTGCTGGATCTTGCTCAGAGGAAACTCTACAGAGATGTGATGATGGAAACCTTCAGAAACCTGGCCTCAGTAGGTAAGAGTGGCATCATTTTTTTTTTTTTTACTTATTCTTTTAGTAAACAAAAACATTTTACTCATTGCACCCTTCAGCAAAAAATTGGGCCCATAAAACAAAATGAGACTAAATGGGTACACCAGCCCAGGGGCAAGGATGAGAAGGCAGGAGAGGACAGGAAAGCTGGTAATGGGGAACTCAAGGTTGAGAAGGGGAGAGTATTGACATGTCATTGGGTTGGCAACCAATGTCACAAAACGATATGTGTATTAATTGTTTAATGAGAAACTAATTTGGGCTAAGGAATGGGAATAAATTGTTAAATAAAACAGGCATGGCATGGCCTCTTAGTCTGTGGAGCTCACTCACGTATCTTGGCTTCCCGTGAATGTAAAACTCTGCGTATTAAGGTGCATTTTTATTTCTCTTATGTTTAAAAGCCCTGAGGTTCTTCTGAGTGTTTTAAATGTAAGCATTGGCTTCAGGGGTCACTTTGGGGCACTGAAAGATTTGTGTTTTGGGACTTTGTAGAGAGTTTTGTATGTTTATTACAATGTGACATGATTATTTTGCTGCAAATAAACACATACCTATCTATCTTCAGAGACCCTGAAGAGCAAAGTTTTGGCTCAGTGTCAGGGAAATGTTCATTGCTTTGCACTGTCTTCCTTCATGATATGCATTTCTCCGTAAACACCATGTCAGCTGTACACATTTGTTTTCCCAGAGAAGCAAGGACAGTGGAGATAGGATTCATCCAGGGCCACTGTGTCAGGGAGCACCAGGAAAGCAATAATTTTTTGAAGGACCAGCCCTGCATGGGGAGAATTACATTTCAATCAGTCAACTGGAAAATGTCTCTTTCGGGTTGAGGGCAGAACTTCACAGATACTTGAGATTAATGATTTTAGCAATCCTCTCACACCTGTAGTCATGGAGACTCTTTTTCTTTTTTAATGTTACATGTGTATTGTGTCTAATATCTTCCTACTTAGTTCTCCTAGTTGTCCCTATTTACGTCACCGTTAGTCTCAATCTTCATGGACGTATTTCCTGGTAAATTACTTTTTAACCATTACCAAAGTGCTGAAACAGCAAAATATGGCTAAGTCTTTTCTTTGTTCACAGCAGTCTTTTTTTTCCCCTAAGAATTCCTTTTTTTGTTTCATATTGTGAACCTTACTTTGAATTAATGGATCAGTCTCTCGAAACTTTAATGATGGAGAAAGGTTATCCAGTGAACACATAATGGTGCGATTCATGAAGAATAACATCTGGTCCTCCATGTTAGGAGCAATCTCCGAATCACATGACAATAAAGAGCAGCATGAAAACCAGAAGAGAAGTTCGAGGTGAGTGTCAGAGAAAACTGCCTCAGGAGAAAGTCCTAAGGTGTTGTGATATACTTACATGTGTGTGTGTGTATATGTATATATACACACATATGTACGTTTATACATGTAATACTTAGTAGAGGGTCAAAAAAAAAAAAAAGGAAGACCCTCAACAAGATGGATTGACACAGTGGCTGCAACAATGGTCTCAAACATAGCATCGATCGTGAGGATGGTGCAGGACCAGGCAGTGTTTCATTTTGTTGTACATGGGGTTGCTGAGTCGGACTGACTCGAAGGCACCTAAGAATATATATAAACTTAGCTGTAAAATTATATGTTCAGAGAATTTTTACAGTATAACATTTTCATAAATGTAAACCAGGTATCACGTATTTGAAACTTATTTTACTTGGACACAATTACCAGAAAGCCACGTATTTTAGAAAAATAGAGTGATGGTAGTATTTCTGCTAGATGATTTAACCTATGAAACATGAGACAAGTCAGGGCGAGAACCATGCAGATTCACTGTGTCTGTAAATGGTGAAATGAAAACAAATTTATTTCCAACAGCATGTTGCCTATTTTTAACAGAAGTCGTACAGTAAAGAACCTCTGTGAAAGTAATGAAGGCAATTGGTGTGGGAACACCTTCAGCTGGATTCCAAATCTTACTGTGCTAAAAAGAAATCCTTCAGAAGTAAATCGCTTTGAATGCTGTGAGCACAGAAAAGCCTTCATGGATCACCCATCACATAAGCATCGTACCAGATCTCACACTAGATGCAATACCTGTCAGTGTAAGGAATGTGGAGAAACCTGCAGTTCTCCCTCTCACCTAACCACTTCTATGAGAATTCTTAATCGAAAGAAACTCCATAAATGTAAGGTATGTGGGAATGACTTCATTTGTATCTCACTGCTTAAGAATTCTGTGACAAGACTCACTGGTGAGAAACGTTATGAATGTAATGAATGTGGGAAACATTTCTGTACTTTCACATCCTTTCGGACACATGTGAGACGTCATAAGCATGAATGTAAAGAATGTAAAACCTATAGTCATCCTTCATCCCTCAATTTACATAAATTTCATGAAAGAGACAAGCCTTATGAATGTAAGGAATGTGGGAAAGCCTTTAGTGAAGCCTCATCCCTCACAAAACATAAAAGAACTCATAGTGGAGAGAGGCCTTATGAGTGTAAGGAATGTGGGAAAGCCTTTAGTGAGACCTCATCCCTCACTAAACATAAAAGAATTCACAGTGGAGAGAGGCCTTATGAATGTAAGGAATGTGGGAAAGCCTTTAGTCAGTCATCACACCTCACTATACATATAAGAACTCACAGTGGGCAGAGACCTTATGAATGTAAAGAATGTGGGAAAGCGTTTAGTTATGCTTCATCCCTCACTGCACATATAAGAACTCACACTGGAGAGAGGCCCTATGAATGTAAGGAATGTGGGAAAGCCTTTAGGCATGCCTCACACCTCACTACACATGTAAGAACTCACAGTGGAGAGAGACCTTTTGAATGTAAGGAATGTGGGAGAGCCTTTAGTGATTCCTCAGCTCTCACTTCGCATATAAGAACTCACAGTGGAGAGAAACCTTACGAATGTAAGGCATGTGGGAAAGCTTTTAGTCATGCCTCATCCCTCACTATACATATAAGAACTCACAGTGGAGTGACACCTTATGAATGTAAGGAATGTGAGAAAACCTTTAGTGACCCCTCAGCCCTCACTTTACATAAAAGAACTCACACTGGAGAGAAGCCTTACAAATGTAAGGAATGTGGGAAAGCCTTTAGATGTTCCTCACATCTTACTGCCCATAGAAGAACTCATAGTGGAGTGAGACCTTACAAATGTAAGGAATGTGGGAAGGCCTTTAGTCGTTCCTCACACCTCACTACACATATAAGAACTCACAGTGGAGAGAAGCCTTATAAATGTAAGGAATGTGGGAAAGCTTTTCGGGATACCTCAGCTCTTGCTTCACATATAAGAACTCACACTGGAGAGAGGCCCTATGAATGTAAGGAATGTGGGAAGACCTTTAGTCAGGCCTCACACCTCACTACACATAAACGAATTCACAGCGGAGAGAAGTCTTAAGAACGAAAGGAATGTGGGAAGGTCTTTAGGCAATCCATAAATCTCACAACACATAGAAGAACCTGCCATGAAGAGAGACTTACAAATGTACAAAATATGGGAAAGCTTTTAGTTGTTCTCACACCTCCGTTCACATAGAACTCACAGTAGAGAGACTACTGTATGTCAAAAGTGGAATGTTTCATTCTTACTGCTGTAATTTGAAACAGCAAATTTCCCAAAGTCTAGGGTTAAAGAACGTTTCTCAGTGAGTAAGGAAGTAATACTAACTCAAAGAAGGGGTCATTAGAGCTACTTTGTGCCTTTGGGACAAATGACAAGTTTCATTGTAATTGCAGGGCTGTCCTGATCAGTGTTAAAGCCTTTGGTTATTACAAGTAAGGCTGCATGGAATAGCCTTGAGGAAATGTGATTTTATATTTTTAATGTTTTATTGATGTTATTTTGAATACAATAAAATACATTGATCTTGTTTTTAAGACTGTTGTTTTATTTTCGTGTTTATCACATTTCTTTCCATTCTTTTCTACTGTAAAGTTAGCTATTTTAACTTTTATGATGAGATACTTTGAGACTTTGCAAAGTTTCTAGTTTGCATCGTACTTTAGTCTACTAATTTTAGTACTTATTGATGTTTTTACTTACGATTATTATTACTGTGGTGTTTACCACATGATACTTTCTGTTCCAATCATTTTTTCTATGTTTATTAATTGGAATTCTGCAAGGAATAGGTTTTCCTTCTCTCCCCTTTGTTTATCAAATTGTTTATACCAGTGTAGGCTAATCCATATTAGTTTTTTTTTTTTTTTTTTTTGGCTCAAGTTGTCCCAGAGCTGGTTGTTATAAACTCCTTGTCGTAGATTTAATTGTGTCCCCCAAAAAATATGTGTATCAATTTGGCTAGGCCACGATTCTCAATATTGTGTGATTGTCCTCCATTTTGTGATTGATATAATTTTCCTATATGTTGTAAATCCTAATTTCTGCCTGTGGTCAATGAGGTAAGATTGGATTATGTTGAAGAGGATTATGGTGGGATGTAACATTCTCCTCAGGTCGTCTCCTTGATCCATTTTAAAAGGAGTTTTCCCTGGGGTGTGGCCTTCACTTTGTATCTTACAAGACATAAAAGGAAAAGCGAGCAGAGAGTGGAAGACCTCATACCACCAAGAAAGCAGCGCCGGGAGCAGAGCATGTTCTTTGGACCCGAGGTTCCTGTGCAGAGAGGCTCCTAGACCACAGGAAGATTGATGATGAGGAGCTTTCTCCAGAGCTGACAGAGAAAGCCTTCCCTGGAGCTGACACCCTGAATTTGGACTTGTAACCCACTAGACTGTGAGAGAATAAATTTCTCTCTGTTAAAGCCATCCACTTGTGGTATCACTCTTATAGCAACACTAAATGACTAAGACACTCCCTTAAATAGGTTCCTGTATTTTTTTTTTTTTAACATGTCCTCATTTTAATTTGTTAATTTCTGCCAGCGTATGAGGCTCATTTTGTCCTTTACCTTCATAAGCCCTGGAATCAGACTTTTCTCCAGGAAACTCTGGTTCCTTTTATTAGAGAATAATATTTAGAAACAAAAGATCTGGGCATTAGGTATACTTATTGCTACTGGGCCCTCAAAGTGGAAAGAGCTAGCAGATACATGTAAGTATACACATACAAAGACACACATTTATACTTCTCTATGGATCTGTATGTATATTATGTTAAAAACTGCAAGATTATATCCATATCTCTGATTCTAGTCCAATACCACAGGGTTTGTTTTAGTCTCTTCACTTACTTTATGTGTTACTTTTTTCTCTAGTAATAATGCTCCTGGATCTCATTATTCACAATACATTTTTTTGCTGAACTTTAAAACATATATAGTTTCAGAATTGCTAACCAGAGGTGATGAACCACCTTGCAGAAAGCAATTTGGCCTTTGAGGTTCCTGAGAGTTGGAGTGCAGCTGAGGCTAATGAGTGAGGGTGGGCAAGATCAGAGGGACTGCCTGATAGCCTGATGCTGACCTTTTGAGGCATAATTTAGCTTATCATGCAGGACTGGCCAATAAAAGTCCAGAGGTCAGGGGCTTAAGGGAGTTTCCCGGTTGGTGAGAAACTTCCTTTCATGTGGAAGGTAGCATGTCCTGGGGACATGGAAGCTCTGCACTGGGATCCTCCCAGACCCTACCCCATATATATTTTCATTTGTATTGTGTTTTGTTATATTAAAGATATTCAGATGGCCTTTTTGTTCTGTGAGTCGTTCCAGTGAATTACTGAACAGAAAGGAGGGTCAGAAGTAAGTGGACTGGGGACCCCTAATCTTGAGGCTGGTATTCTAAGGGGGTTAGAGGGAACCCCCAGACTTTTAGCTGGCATATCAGAAGTTAGGAGTTGATCAGATTCCCAGACTTGCAGCTGGTGTCTACCTGTTTGGCAGCCTGAAGGACAGTGTCCTTGTAACTTGTGAGGTCTGGCCTAGCCCTGGGTGGTTAGAGTCAGAGGGAGAATCCTGCTTGGGTGGCTAGTGTCAGAGCTAAACAAGGACAGGAATCTGAGATTTCCACGATGCAGTTGGCATATGAAGTGGAATTTCTTAGTCCTCTGGTGTCATGGATTGAATTGTGCCCCCAAAAGATAATCAATTTGACTAGGCTATGTGTCATCTGATGTGATTTTCTTGTGTAAATCCTGCCTCTGTGACGTTAGTGAGGGAGGATAGGCAGCAGTCGTGCTAATGAGGCAGAACTCAATATACAAGATTGGATTGTACGTTGAGCCAGTTTCTTTTGGAATATAAGAGAGAGGTGAGCACAGAGACAAAGGGACCTCATACCACCAAGTAAGTGGCATCCTTAGGACCCAGGGTTCCTGTGCAGAGAAGCTCCTAGTCCAAGGGAAGATTGATGAGGACCTTCCTCCAGAGCCAATGGAAAGACAGCCTTCCCCTGGAACTTGCACCCTGAATTCGGACTTGTAGTCTACTGAACTGTGAGAGAATAAATTTGTTTGTCAGAGCCATCAACTTGTGGTATTTCTGTTATAGCAGCACTATATAACCAAGACAGAATTTGGTACTAAGAAAGTGGGGTGCTACTCTAACAGATACCTAAAATGTGGAAGTGGTTTTGAAACTGAATGGATAGAGAACCGGCAGCAGCAGCAGAACCAGGAGACCAGTGCCAGACAGAGCTAGAGCTGCCCTATGGAGCAAGAGAGCTGAGTGCCTGTGCACAGGACGCTTCCTGGCAGAGTGGGATGCTTCCAGGCACTTAGCAGTGGAGCTAGGCTTGCTGACTCACAGAGCAAAAGAGCTGCGTGCCTTCTGGCTAAACTTTACTGGCAGAGTAGTGTGCTTCCAGGCACTTGTTGGTGGAGCTACAGAGCTTTGCTACAGAGCAGGGTAGATGTGGACATGATGCCCAAGGACCTAGAGGCCAAGGGACCAGGAAGCAGAAGTTGAAGAGACTACATAGGAAGCTGAGCTGCCTCAGTCTTAAAAGGTATGGCCATGACCTTTGTGGTTTCAGAGGGTGGAGCCATGGCCCCTGGTATTTCTAAGGGTGGAGTTGCCACTCAGATGGACTAGGAGAATGGTGCACCTAAAGCTGAGGAGCAGAGTTGCCGTCCCAGTGGGCCTGGAAGGTGGGGCTGAAGCCCAGGGCCGAGGGGCCTCCACTCAGAATCCGGACAGTGTGACCAATACCTAGAGTCTATAGGGCAGGGCCATTGTGTAAATGGTCTTGGGGAACACAGGATTATTTTCAAAGCCTTGAGGGCTAATGTAATGTGTTCTACTGACTTGCTTGGTGCCTGTTATCCCTTCTTTCTTTCCAGTTTTTCTCATTTGTAATGGAAATGTCTAGCTTGTGTCTGTTATTCTCTTTTTCTCCAGTTTCTCTCATTTGTAATGGAAATGTCTAGCTTGTGCCTGTTCTGCCATTGTACCTTTGGAAGCAGATAATTTGTATTCCAGATTTTACAGATGGAGAGGAATTTTTTGGATTTTGGACTTGGAGTTAAGACTTTTGCTATGCTATGATGGGGTCAATATGTTTTGTATGTTGCAAGGATGTCATCTTTTGGGGGCCAAAGGGTGGAATGTCATGGATTGAATTGTGTCCCCGAAAAACGTGTGTCAGTTTGGCTAGGCCATGATTCCCAGTATTGCGTGATTGTCCACCACTGTCATCTGATGTGATTTTCTTGTCTTGTAAATCCTGCCTCTGTGATGTTAATGAGAGGGGATAGGCAGCAGTTATGTTAATGAGGCAAGACTCAGTCTACAAGGTTGAATTGTGTCGAGCCAATCTGTTTCAAGATAAAAAAGAGAGAAGCAAGCAGAGAGACAAGAGGACCTCATACCACCAAGAAAGCAGCGCTGGGAATACAGCACGTCCTTAGGACCTGGGGATTCTGCACGGACAAGCTCGTGGTCCTGGGGAAGATTGATGAGAAGGACCTTCCTCCAGAGCCAACAGAGAAAACTTTCTCCTGAAGGTGATGCCCTGAATTTGGAATTGTAGTTTACTAAACTGTGAGAGAATAAATTTCTCTTTGTCAAAGCCATCCACGTGTGGTATTTCTGTTACAGCAGCATTAGATAACCAGAACACCTGGGCATAGATACTAAGGAGTTGAAGCCATTAAGTTTCATCTGACCTTAAATCTGATGTCTCAACTACTGTATTGCATGATTGGGGGAATTTTAGTGAGGGTTGGAAAATGGGTTGAACCATACTCATGTCTGTGCAGCTGATGTCTGTATACAGTTAAGAATTCAATAAATAATTTTTAATGAATGAATGGTTGGATACATTTAGAGGCAGTCATGCGGGGAATTCTTCAGTTTCCTGCCTCTCATTACAAAAGTTTCTGCCCCCATAGCCATCTACAACTCCATACTCTGGGTCTCTGAAAAATTTGGCTGTCAGTTCTGGGTCCCCTCCTTTTCTGATCCATCACACCATCAACCACTCTGTCTCCAGTGCCTTCAGTATCTCCTGTCTCCTGACTGCACTTAATATCAAATCTTTCCAACCTAATTGAACTATCTTATAGCTGTGTTTCAGCTCTTTTCACTATCTTCATGTTTAAGCTTCTTTGAAAAGGTGCTACGGCCACCCGTGTTCTTGGCTTCAACCACCAGTCAACTTCCACATGTCCACATCTCCAGCGGCGGTCTTTCCCAGCCTTAAGCCCCAAATATCCTATAATCATTACAGTAGGCTCCAAAGAGTTTATTTTGTCACAGTGGTATCTTTTAGCCACTGCACTACTGAACAATGTAGTCCTATAGATCAAACTCATGTGATCTACAGTGACGCTGAATTCATAACCAAGTGAAATATTTTAAATGTTCTGCTTTTTTTTAACTTAGAAACAAAATGTGATTTAAAAGAATAATTGAACAGAGATTCCCTAAGAACGTATTCACAGTAAACTAGATGTCTTTATGTTTTAAACAAAGTTCACTGTTGAATAGCAGGGAGCATTTCATGGGATTTCCAGGGAGATAATGTATCTTGATTTCAGAAAAGCATTGGATACATGACATGATTATATTCATGGTGTCTGAAAGAAGAATTAGGAGTGCCCTGAGAAGGAAGAGATGGGAGAACTGCATGACTGTAGGTTTTATTTAATCAAGGACTAAATATGGATCAAGCTCTAGGGAGGTGAGTCTGTGTTTTGAAGAGAGAGTCATTGATTTCACAGGCACAGAGCCCTTCTGGATGACCACCAAAAAAAAAAAAACCCACTGCCATCTAGTCAATACCGACTCATAGCGACCGTGGGTGACCACCGGTCTGTGGAATTGGTTACCTGAAGTGGAACGGAGTGGAAAATCCCCAGCAATGAGATCAATGAAACTAGAGGCAAAAGTAGTAGATAAAAATCCATACAGACACTGAAGCCCCCAGAAGTGATGCAGAATTTAGGGGAGAAAGTAAGAATTAGCCAGCTTCCAAAGTCATAAGTAAATGGGAGGTGGGCAGACAGCAGTAATGTGGATGGAGAGAAGCTGGTATAGTCAAAAAGCAGTAAAGGAACAAGGGATTTTGCATGTGAGTGGAGAAAGGTCAGCCCCCAAATGGTACTAGGAATTGAGAACAATTCCGATCTCACTCCTGGAATCAGAGGTACGAAGGCTGTGTGATAAAATTCAAAGTGTTAAATAGATTTTTAAAAATCCAGAAATGAGCTGGAGAAAGAGACTTTCAAACAAAGTAGATTTTCCACAAATGAGAACTGACAGTTACTAGAAAAAAGGTTTGCTCACTTCCACTTCTATTTTCCTTACTATGAGCTCTTTTCCGCTTTTGCTTACCAACCCTGCAGTGTTTCCCAACTTCTGTAGTTCTGGTTTATTCTGCTTGGTTTTTTGTATAATTTTTTAAGTTTGTTAAATCTGTCCCCTCCTATGTATCGAATGAGATTAAACCAATCCAGCACCTCTGTTTTTGTAACTATATATTTCAGTACAGAATTTCTGGCTGGTTCCTTTCAATCTAAAGTGTCATTTGTTATTTCCAGTTTCTGCCTTTTATCCTCATGACTGTAGAAGCAGAGGTGTTTTACATCTGGGTGTCTGTTTCTGTTGTCTGTGCTGCTTCATTCCCTGTGTTCCTGATAATTTGTTCTACAACAGACATTATATTCATTGACTTTTATTTTTTTGAAGAGTTATTGATGTACACTAAATAAAATACAACAATACAAATATTTGTAGTCAAAGATCAATAGCTGAATATGTTAGATGTTTTTAGTTAGACATAATTGAAGGTACAACTTTTTTTCCAAAGAAGGTTTTTTTTTGTTGTTGTTTTTGCTATGCCAGGTGTCTGGAGTTGCTACCAATCTCATAAACCTTAAAACTTTCAGAGCTTGAGATTCCCATTAGGATGGCTCATAGCCAGGCCTCGAAGTCCTTGTTTTATATTGCTATGGCTCCCACTTTTGGGAAGCCTGAGCTCCAGCTTCCTTCCCTATGTCTGAACCTTGTTGACATGGTTGTCTAACTGAATCAGCGTCATGTTGGTAAAGTTCATCTGAAATGCTTGGCTTCTCTCTTATTCCATATTCTTCTGAATTGTGTCCAGCAATTTTTCAATATCTTATTTAATAAGACTTTTTAGGTGTCTTCACTGGAAGACTTGGTCCAAACTACCGAAAGTGGAAGTCTCGTTTGTCCTTTGAACATATATTGAAGTTTAGCATCTCTATAGTTATATCCTTATCGTTCTCTAGATGGATGGATGGATGGACGGATGGACAAACGTTGTGTGCTTTCCAGTTGATTCCAACTCATGTCAACCATATACAACAGTAGAACTGCCCCATGGGATTTCCCAGGCTGTAATCTTTACCGAAGCAGACTGCCGTGTCTTTCTGCCATGGACTGGCTGGTGGGTTTGAACAGCCAACCTTTTGGTTAGCAGCGAAGCTCTTAACCACTGCCCCACAAAGGTTCCTTTAGATAGACAGACATATATAAATTTGTAAGACATGAAAAAATCTATCAAAGTATAACTGGGGAGACAAAACGTATTTCAAAAAGAAGAGTCAACGTGGAAGGAAATGAGATCTCTCTAGATTAATCTTAAAAACAGCTTTTTACTTTTAAAACATTAATGACAGTTTGTTTCTAAGACTTATCTGGAGATGAATTCAAGGAGAAATAAATAAGAATTTTTTGGTACAAAAGAAGAGTATCTGACAAAAAAATCTATGGCAGTGGCACTGTGCCTCTCGGAGCAGGACCCTGGCTAGCGGTGACTCATTGGGCCACTAAGGTGTCCGTGGGGGGAGGGGGTGCTAGGTTTTTTCCAGTATGTTGCTGTCCCGTGACTGCTAAGTTATCCTGGGTTCTGTTCCTGGCACTCTCCACCACTGCCCATGCCTACACTGTTACAGCTACTCTGTGCCCCTCCCTGGGGGTGCACGCTCGTCCTGCCCTCAGCCCACCAGGTACCCCAGGCCAGTCCACACGCTTACTCTCTAGCTGGATTTTCCTGGGGTGGCTGGAATTCAGATTTACACTGCACTCCTGCATGCCTCTCTCTTAGGCCTACCTAGTCCCAGTACACGCTTTGCCGCCTTGCGGCTCCTTCCAGGCTGGAACCCGACTGAGTCCTCTGGCGAGTAGGGTGTGGACAGCCCTTGAATCTCTGCCTTCCTGCAGTCCACGCTTCAACTCTCCCCTAGTTTGGTGCTCAGCCTGGTTCTCCCATCTTTCAGTTAGTGTCCAGAGTTCCGAGATCGCTGGTTGCACACGCTTTTACTTATTTGTCATTGTGGGGGATCGTGAGGGTGCTGCTGTCTGCGCTGCCATCTTGCCCTTCCTCCACCTGACTTCTGTTTTGAACCCTGCAGACAGATTCTAGAAGAAATGGAGGGTTGAGGGGAAGAAAGACTAATTTTTGAGAAAGTGTTTCATGGTACATGTTCCCTCGGGTCCAGTTACTTGGTGGGTGTATCTGGAGTAAGCACATTAACGTGTTTAAACAGACATGACAATTTTTCGGTTGCATACACAGGTACAGTATTCATTCTTTTCTGATGAGAAAATCCACTTTGGAAAGAAAATCCATCCCAGACAGTGACTTAGAGCAGGGTTAGGCGAACATTTTGTAAAGGGCTAGATAGTAAACATTTTAGGCTTCACAGGCAGTAGCTTCACCTTTGCAAAGACAACTCTGCCCTTGTAGCTCGAAAGCAGCTGAAGACAGTAGGTTCATGAATGGTCGTGGCCATGTTCCAGTAACACGGTATTTACAGAAGCAGCTGTGGGTCAGGTTTGGCCTGGGGCAGGTAGTGTGTTGACCCCTGATGTAGAGAGTAGATTCAGCTCTAGGAAGCAGGCAAATCACAGAGGACACTGTAAAGTTAATAGAAGAAATCACATGCAGCTTCCTTTCTGCTAGTGGGACTCACCTAATAGATGGTCCAGAATTATGTCCCTCAGGCTCTGCCCTGTGTTCCTGGCCAATGCTGATATAACTGTCCGACCCTCCATCATCTTGACCTTCCCCTATACCAACCTACCCGATTTAAAAAAAAAAAAAAGCCTTTGAGTCAACTCAGACTCATGGTAGGCATTGCGTTTCTTCTGTTTATGTTGATGGAAAATTTGACAGATATTGATGATGGTTGCACAACATGATTACTGTAATTCACGGTACTAAATTGGCAAATGTGTTATATATATTTACAAAAAAGAAATTTCAGGGTAAGGCTGAGAACTGAAAGGTGAACTGTCTTTTTTAAATTCCATATATTTTATTCTTACAGTTTTTATATATGGAAAAGGAAATACAAACCTATGATAAAATATATATATATTCAAGTAGTACAGGGAACACAATGAAAAGTCTCTCGCTTGACCTCAGTCATCCTCCCCAGAGAAATCCTTGTCATCATTTTCTTTGTGTATCCAGAAATATTTTATGCATATACAAACACAAATGACTTTTTTCTACACAAATGGTAGATTACCATACCTTTTGTTTGCACCTTACTTTTTTGTCCTTTTCACTTAATATGTCTTGGAAATCATTCCACGCACATAGGGTTTGGCCTGTCTCTAACAGCTAAAACCAAACCTGTTGCCATCAAGTTGATTCTCATAATGACCCTGTAGGACAGAGTAGAACTGTCCCATATGGTTTCCAAGGAGCAGCTGGTGGATTCAGACTGCTGACCTTTTGGTTAGCAGCTGAGCTCTTAACCACTGTGCTACCAGGGTTCCCTCTAATATATATTGCATGGATGGACCATAACGTATTATCCAGTTTTCTAGTGAAGACTATTCCTTTCTTTTGTTCCTGTAGACAGTGTTGCAAGCCACATTCTTGCCCTTCATGCACATGTGTAATAACTGTAGAATAAGTTCCTAGCAGTGAATTTTTATTAGGTCACCAGATGCATTTTAAAATGTACACATCAAATTTTGATAGACCCTGCCATACTTCCTTCTGTAGGAGCTGTGCCAGGATAAACTCTACCAGTAATGTATAAAAATGCCTGTCTCCCTGTAACATTGCCAACAGTGTTAACGAACTGTGATCTTTGCCAAATTGGAAAGTAAAAAATAGTGTTCCATGGGAATGCCACTTCGGAAGACAGTCTGGCAGTTTCTTACAAATCTCAACATAGGCTCACCATTCTGATCTAGCAGTAGCACTCCTAGGTATTTACCTAAAGGGGTCAAAAACATGTCCATTAAAAAACCTGCATGCAAGTGTTTATAGCATCTTTAATCATAATTACAAATTGGAAGCAACCAAGATGTCATTTAATAGGTAAATGGGTAAACAAGTAGATGATGGTACATCCATACATTGGAGTATTTATTCAGTGATAAATAGAAATAATTTATCAAGCTAGGAAAAGATACGGAGGAATATTAAATGCATACTGCTAAGTGAAAGAAGCCAGTCCAAAACTACATACTGTGTGATTCTAAGTCTGACATTCTGGAAAAGCCAAAACTATAGAGACAGCACAAAGATCAGGGGTTTGGGGAGAGGGAGGAGGAATGAAATAGGTGGAGCCTAGGGGATTTTTAGGGCAGTGCAACTATCCTATA